CTTTGATATATTGGCCGGAAACCAGGAATAGACTTAAAAGCTACTTGGCAGTGCTTGACAACCTCTGGGTAACAATGTCACGTACCTTGGGTGGTGGTCTGTTGGTGGTTTAGGATATCGGTGATCTGGTGGTGGTTGTAGGGTGGTGCTAGGGTTGTGGTGGTGGTGTTAGGGTGTTGGTAGGATGGGGATAGTTGTTTTTTCTTCGGTATATTGGCTGGAAACTAGAAACAGTCTTAAAAGCTGCTTGGTAGTGCTTGACAACCTCTTGTGTAACAATGCCATGTACCTTGGGTGGTAGTCTTGTGGTGGTTTAAGATATTGGTGATTTGGTACTAGTTGTAGGGTGGTGATGGTGGTTGTAAGGTGGTGTTAGGGTGTTGGTAGGATGGTGATAGTTGTTTTTTCTTCGATATATTGGCAGGAAACCAGAATCGGACTTAAAAGCTGCTTGGCAGTGCTTGACAACCTCTGGTGTAATAATGCCACATACCTTGGGTGGTGGTCTGCTGGTGGTTGTAGAGTGGTGATGATGGTTGTAGGGTGGTGGTGGTGGTGTTCGGGTGTTGGTTGGTGATTAGACTTTGTTTGCGTTTTGGTTTTGATTCATGTCGTTCCTAGGTTTATTTTTTGTTTCCCTTGTTTTGTTGTGCCAGTTTCTTGTTTCTTGGCTTGTTTGGTGATGGGGTTGGTGGTGTAATGCTTGTTCTGGTGAGCTGGAGGTTGGTTTTGTGTATGGGTTGTGGGTCTGCACCTGCTACTGTTGCGTGTCTCTAAGGCTTGTTGTGGCTGTTGTGTGTTGGTTTGTTGTGTCTCTTAGTGAGAGCTTGGTTCCTTGCTCCCCTTGGTTTCTTGTAATGTTGTTGTGTCACTCGGTGGGAGCTTGATTGCTGCTTATTAAGTTTAGTTATGTTGTAGAGCTGTTCTGGGGTTTTTTTGTGGTCTATTTTAGTGCAAGTGCAACATTATATTTGATTTGCTGTTGTGCAATGTTTTTGCTTGTTAGGCAGGATGCATGAGCCTATTTTTTTTTATGAAATCTGTCGGTATTTATTCTTTCTTGACTTTTGTTTCAGGTACAATGGCATTCCGAGTATGTGAACATGCATATAACTTGCATGATTTTGAGGTTGAAAGTACGATGAAACAAGAGCTTGAAAGGGGGGATTGGATAACTTGTTAAAATTACAAAATATGCCAAAGCATTGTGCACCCATAATTGAGGCATAAATCACTATCAATTTCAGAATTAGATAGTATAAGAGGAGGAGGACATGGAACTTTACCAATCAAATGATTCTCAAGCTCATGTGATCCAACAGCAAACAAGACCTGTGAACTCCAAAAGCGATAATTGTTTTGCATAAGCTTCGGATTATAACTTGTAAGCTTGAAGCTTGAGCTGAGGTGGAACAATTGACAGAGTCTTTGAGAATTTGTGAAGTGGAGCGATGAACAGAATCTCTTAACATTTCCTCTAAGTTGCAAAGCAAAGAAGAAGAACCAAAATCTTCACCTGAATCTTTTGCCATTGACGTTAGTTAATGCTTTGATACCATGTAGATTTGACAAAGAACAAGAGAAAAGAAGAATTTGAGAGAGAAATTTGAGTGGAACAAACTGTGTAACTTGTATTGATTGATTGACAAATAAAATTACATTCTTTTATATGAAAGACAAAGAACAGAGTGAACAGTAAAATGTGTCTAAAACGACACAGTCTTGACTTAAGCTAAATTACTTTTGAGCCTTTTTGACTCATTGGTCAACAGTGCGTATAGTTGTTGGCATGTGATATTGATTACCTATAGTCTTCCCCCTGGTTGTGTACGAAGAGGAAGTTTACGATGTCCACATTGTTGATACCCGTCCAAAAGAATAAAAGGGTTTTCAGAATTTGCGTTAGTGTTTCTCATATATTTTCTCAAAATTTATTTTCAACAAATAACCCTAATTAAACCCTAGCTAGCACCATGAATAAAACACAACGGAAAGCACCAATATTGATATTATTTTTTCCTCATGATATTGTACAAAATCTCCTTCTCAAACTACCCCCAAAATCCCTACTGTGACTCAAGTGTGTTTGCAAATCCTGGCTTGAGTTAATCTCAACTCACAAGTTTGTCGTAAAACAACTTAATGAAACATCTGAAAGGTTTCGTAGATTTATTTAGAGTCATACTACACATACATCATTTTCATACAACATTATGTGGCAAGATATGATTAGCTAATTTAAAGTTAAAATTAAACTTTCACCCAATCATATCTTGCCACATAATGTTGTATGAGAAATGTTGTATGAGAATGATGTATGTGTAGTATTATTCATTTATTTATAAAAGCAAGAAAGCCTCCACATTTGTCATATTTAATTTAATTTAACAAAATTGAATAATATTATAGCAATTATATATAGCATAACTACAAGAACTATATCATTTATTCAATGATGGATTGATTTAATAAAATGAAGATACTTTTATGTTTGATATCACATACTCCTGAGTCGATCAACTGGGTACTGATTTTTTTTTTTTTTTTTTAGCAATACTAGTCTTACAAAGACAAATACAAAAGGGTCATACAAAGACAATTGCTATCATCGATCTTCATGATTTTTTTTTCTCTCTCTCTCTTTTTCCGTTCTTGCTTTGTTTTTTCCTTCTTGCTGACATCACTTTGTAGCCCTCTTTGTATTGTTTTTGTAAGGATAGTATTTTTTTTTTTTTTTCTGTTTTTTGGTAATTTATATGTAGTTATTTGTATGATTCCTTTACCATATTCTCTAAAATTCCTCACTGTGTGAAACTTTATTTGTTAATTTAGAGAGTCAATATTTTAATGAATAAAGATAGCTTGACAAGCACTTCTCACAACTTTCTCTCACAAACGCTAACATGGCAGCTTGCAATTGGTCAGACGGGACCCATTGCGAGCTGACCAATTATGAGCTGACATGTCGTGTTTGTGAGAGAAAGTTAGTGAAAAGGGTTTGTGAGTGTAGTATTACTATATTTTAATATACTTAGATTTTCACTGTTTGGTTTTTAAGATTTTTTGGGTTTGCCAACATTGATGCACACTCTTAAACAACATGATCAATTCCCTTTGGTACCACATTTTCACCCTATCATATCTAATCCTATCCAAATACATATTTATTTCAATATTCAAAATTCTCCTCAAAATACAGTACTATTCTATTCAACTTAAAATATTAACAATTACATTTCCCAATAAAAGTTTTAAAATTAACAAAAACACTCCCACAAACCCAAGCCACTATCACCTGCCAGCAACCACCGCTAGTCGCCACCACCGTAACAACGCACGACAAGTTAGATCTGGCCGGCATGCACCTATCTGTCTGTTTCTGGCCAGATCTACGACCAAAGATTTGGCGTGGCCAAATCTGGCCATCAACGGTGGCCATATCTTGGTCGTCGTTGACAGCCAAATAAGGGCCAAAAATCTGTTGACGACCAAACGACGACTATATCTTGATCGTCGTTTGGCCGTCATTGGCCAAAGATCTAGCCATCAATGGTGTCAACGATGGCTAGATCTAGCCATCAATGACCAGAGTTGTGGTTGTAGATCTGACTGTTTCCGACCAAATCCATGGTAGATCTGGTCAAAAAAGACCAGACTGATGCACGACCGACCAAATCCAGCTGGTCGTGCACCATTCCAGTAGATTCCGGCCACCTTCCGACGGTGGTGGCTAGCTGCCAATAATATGTGGGTAGGTGGGGGTGTTTTTATCAATTTATAAACTTTTATTGTGAGGGATGTTTAGTTAAATTAACCAACCTAAGAGATTAAAATATAATCACCATATTTTCAAAAAATGCTATTTAGAAATTTAATAAACATATTTTCAAATTCAAATCATATTCTCGTAAAAATAACCAAACTCAAAACTTTTCAAAATACTATTCTAAAACATGTCTAAATAGTGTACCAAACAAACCCTTAAATTTTCAGCATAATAGATTCACAAATTCCTGGGGAGGTCATTATCCATTTTGCCAACATTATAGAGATACATTGTTTCACTAACATCAGAGAATGTCTCTTATATTTTTTATTAACACTATCCATCGTAATTTAATCTAACAATTCTCTTATAACTATACATGAGATAAACGATTTAATTAATGGGGTCTATTTTAAAAACTTTGATTTCGTTTCTCTAATTCTCTGATAAATATTATAAGAAACATGATTATTGTTATTGAAATTCTCTTTCTTTGCTACATTCTGCTCAACACAAAATGAAAAACAATAGGACAAAGTGGCATGGTCAAGATTAAATTTAAAAAAAAAAATGTTGGGATTGGGAAAAAAAGGGAAAAATATATTATTAGAGAAAATCAAAATTTTTAATTAATTTAATTTACAATTCAGTTTTTTTATGGGGCAAAATGAAAAAATCAAAAAAATTCTAAGTGGGGTCATTTGACCCCATGTGGGTCCGCCCCTATATATATAGTGATAATTATTTGAGAAGTTCCCCCATTTAAACCTGCATTAGTTGAGAAGTTCCTCGGATAATCTTAATAATCACTCTCGACAAAAGCATCTTTCGATCTAATCAAACAATAACACATGTTCATTTCTCATTCACTTTTCGTTTTCTTTGTTATCATACTTTTGATCTTTACTTCATCTTCAAATCAACATATATACTGTTATATTCAAGTTACCTAGCTATAGGGATCACAAACTCACACTCAGTTGTTTTCAACATCAACCATGGTTGCATCTTCATCGAGAGTTACTGGAATTCTCAGGAATCCATAAAAATCCCATCCAAAAATGGGAAACTCATCTTCCAACTTATGCCTCTAATCCTCTGTCCATTTTATCTCCTAGTCCTACTTCACGATTTCACCGCCGGGCCCCTAGTGGCCAAGGTTGAAGACGGCTACGAGCGCGGCTAATTGAATCAAAAGGATGTAAGAGCTTTGGTGGGAGTCGAGCTCCTTTTCATGGCGGCCTTCTTGATTATTTTCCTCTTTGAGATGATGGTAACAATATTCTATGCATCAGATCTAGCATATAATACAGCAGGAAGTTCAATGAAGGTGATGGATTTGATGTTGAGGATCAAATCCACATGGACGAAACCTTTAATCACATGGCTATACGTTTCTTTTCTCACAATCATTTACACTGTTTTTGTTTTAATTACAATCAGATTGATCAGCTTAATTGTGTGGAAAGGGTTAGCGGCAATCCTAGCTATAATTTTGTACCTTTACGTGGCTCAAATTTGGGGTCTCGGGTTCGTGATTTCGGCGGTGGAGAGAGATTGTAAAGGAGGAACAGCAGTCAAAAGAGCAAGAAAGCTTCTTGAAGGTCGAAAACTAGAAGGGTTTTTCATTATGTTGATTTTATTCCTACTGAGTGTTCCGATCTATATATTGTTCTATGTTACATTGACGGATGATGATGATGAACTTGGGGTAATCGCTCAGATTGCCTTTGGGTTTGTTGCAACTCTACTCTTCTGTGTTGTAACATTTTTCTCCTTTGTGGTTTTCACCGTGTTCTACCATGAATGTAAGCAGAGTTATGGGGAGAAATTAGACATGGAAGTGAAGTCCGGAGCTGGATGTAGTTTAGTTTCTCAGAAGTGTTAAATTGATCTTTCTCTACTTGATAATATTTAATAAAAGTGGATGTTATTATTAGCTTTATTTGTTGGGAGTATCGTGTACTATATATACTGGTCCCATATATATCTTAGTAAGGATCAGGCAAACCCACCACCGGAAATTCTCTCGGTATCCACGTAGTTCTCTGACGTTAAAAATGGGTATCAGAATTTAGACATTTTGTAAACGCTTACCCCATCATGGTTGAATATAATTAACCACATACAAGGTTTACACGCACTTCAACTTCTCTAGATTAAAGACTTTAAAACTATCAGTCGGATAAAAGTTTCAATGAGTATCCCTATTAACAATCAATGAGGAATTTAAACTTAAGACCTCTTGAATAATATACTCAAAAGTCTTTATCCAACTACTCAATTATTCAGAAATAGTTGGTTTCAATAAATTTAAATAATGTAAATTATTTGGTATTTTCATAGTTAGCAAATTTATTAAAATATTACTAATTAATTGTGATGTATCACAAATATTTATCTTTTAAGTTGTCCCCTAAATATAAGATAAAAAGGATTATTAGATAAATAAGTTAAAAAAATATCTGTGGGGACTTGGTTGTTGCAAATTGAAGATTAAAATTTGTTGACGGGGTAAATAATTAACGGCAAAAGGGTAGAACCACAATGGGTCCAATCAGCCCATGTGAAGGAAGGCCCATGAGAGCTTTACAAAGCCCGTATTGGAGAAAAATGCCCAACAAGAAGTGAAAGCCCAAAACATTGAACAAAAGGACCCACAAAGTTAGATAGGGCTTTGAAGTATAAAATCCTGAGAACTTAAAATAGAGTGTAAGATCCCGCGCCAGGAGTCCATGAACCAGGAATCAAGAGCGTGTCTGAGGACCTACTTTCAGCCAACGGACCTCAAGGGGGAACGTGACAAAGCCACTCAATAAATCCAAGTGGTTTTAGCGATTCGCCGTGGTTTTGAGCCTACTGAAAGGAGAAAGAAAAATGTTATCCTTCCAAAAACCTATACAAAGAGGATTATAAAGTGACATCATTAAGAAGAAAAATATATAAAAAAAAAAAAAAGAGAAAGAGAAATCATGAAAATCAAGGATGGAGATTGTCTTTGTATGTCCCTTTGTATGTGTCTTTGTAAAACTAGTATTGCTCAAGGAGAAAAGTACTCTTCCGGATCAAAGCTAAGTTGATGAAATGTATAAAGAGGGTGACATAGGCTGACTTTGCGTTGTCAGCGCTACCAAGATGACACCTCCCTTGCGTCACTGGCTTTGCGGTAGTTTTCAAACGCTGCAAGCACGCCATGTTAGTTGCATGCATAATAATTGCCACCCTGTCAAACGTTAAATTCCACAATATAAACAACGCTAAAGGTAACGTTTTGGGGATCACGAAGGCAGAAGTCTTGGACACAAGAATCCTGGACATAAACACAAAAACATACATGCATACATACCCTGAGAAAATCCAAGTAGCCTATAACAACCACCCACAAATAAAGTAGTCTACACAGGTTCTGTTAAAAAAAAAAGGGGTATTCGGACTGGTTAACCCCTATATAAGATTGTCCCATGTAAGTTTTTCTCTTTCGATTGGGGTTTTGAAGATTAGTTTCGGCCTTTTGGTAATTATGTTCACCCCGCAACATTGACACAATCTATGGTGATCCTTACTGATTTAAGTTTAGATTTCTCTTGTTTGTCAATTGGTTTTTTTAGGATTAAATTGACAGGATGGTTGCAATAATGACGGTGGCAAACAGTTTAAATAGTTTTTTAAGGCAACTTATTAGTTTATAGTAATTTTGCTTTAGGTATTTCATTTTTTTTCAATATCAAACTGCATGAAATGAACCTTTTAGGTAGGGTGAGCATGGGTAGCCGGTAGAATCAGAACCGGCAGGTAGAATTGGAAATAAGGGGTAGAATCGAAAGCAGAACCGGAATTTACACGAAACTAGCCTTTAAAGGGTCCGGTTCCTACATGTGTAGGAATCAGAATCAAACCCGGAACCTGGAATGGGTACTCGATATGGAACCTGTCTTGGAACTAGGAGTGAAACGAAGTATTAGTAAAGAATGGAGGGTCCATTGTAATTGAAAGTTTTAAATATACCAAGTAATTTAAAACTTAAGCGGAGATGGTTGCCATGTTGATTAAAAGAGTCAATTAAACATAAACATAAATCAATAAACATAAACCAAAAGTAAAACACACAAGAGTTTTACATGGTTCGGCAAAATGCCTACATCCATGGGACCAAGTCCAGAATGAAGTCAATCCACTAGGTTTACTTTACAGTTCAATTACAAAGTCAGAGATTAAGCCTCAGTTGCCAAAATACCCCTGTTTTGCAACGCTTCAATCTCTACCCTCTGGATAAACAACGTATAACCATAATGAGCTTACAAGAACCAACACGGTTAGCCTTGAGCTTCTCTCAAGGACTAGAAATGAAAACGCACTGCAGTGGAGGAAGCTCAACACGCTTCAACATCTCATAGTGAGCAGGGATGTATTTGGGTACTTTGAAGGAGGTATTTTAAAGTTTTACCTAAGCATAGAAACCTGACACAAAACAAAGTAAAAATCAGAGAATTTTCAGTGTATTATTCAGAGAAAATATCAAGCTTGAGAAAAAGTGCAAAGGAGAGGGGTTTATATAGGAAAACAGTCGGCCAATGCATGGGCAGATGGCAAGCATCTCTTTATTGAATTTACCTTTATAAAAATTAAATCTAATATCAAGATGCCACTTATCAAAGAGAATAACAACTTTCTAGCACATTGAATATAAATTTGATAGGTGTTAAAGACCACACAAATATTATAAAAAAGAATAAAATAGTTCATGCATTCTAGAAACTCAATACATGTAACTCAAATAAAACTGGTAGATACGAGGTGATCACCTGACTCAGAGGTGCTCACCTGATACTGCAAGTAACCAACATAAGAGAAGGCGGTCACCTTTAACACGAGGTGGTCATACTGGAAGTTACAATATAAATGATTGTGCAAAGACAAGGTAAGGTGATCATACTAGGATTGAGAGTTACCACTCTAGGTTCATAAGTTGACAAAAACTTACAATAATTTTACATATAAAAAATTTAAAATGGGATGAAGACACATATGGTGTGTGGACTATGGAGGCCTTGACTTGGTTGGTGTTAGTTAATTAATAATAAACTATGGAGTGATATAGATTTACCTCAACCGCTTGAACCCAAAAAAGTTACTGAAACAATACCACCAAAGACAGATTAGGATGAAGCACGTTACAGATGTTGTTCTCTTAAGACGATTCCATGCCTCTGCAGTTGAAATTTCAGTGCAGCAGACTCCCCAGCACGCGTCTTATGGATACAACAGCTCAAACTATCTTTGGACTCTTTTTACGTCTGCATAACGCAAGAAGATAGAACTTCACACTACCTTAGTAATACCCAATAATCAATAATAAACACAGAGAGAACTTTTTGTTTCTACTAAAACTTGTTCTCTTAAGAAGAGAATTTTTTCTCTTATTTATCCCTCTAAAAAAATCAAATATATCCCATAAAAATCTACTAGTGGATAAGAGAATAAAAGTTAACGTTGGTTTTTTCAAGTCTAAAAATACGCTCACGTAGTCTTCATGATTTGAGGAGTAAGAAGTGGTCAAAACAATTTTTCTAATAAAATCTTCTTTATTAAAAAATAAACCAACAATCCCCTACTTATTATTGAATAAAGACAAATTAAAAAAAAAAAAAAAACATTATAGATTAATCGGGTATAAACAGAAATGTTATGAATAACAATGGTGCCAATGGCTTGAACCATTGCTTAGTCCATAAGAAATTATTGCACTAGTGCCAAAGTGATCCGTCTTGAGCCAAGACAACTTGAGGGTACAACAACTACTTAGAACACATAAAATTTTAGGTATCATAGGAGTTCTTTAAGCTAGCACATTTACGGCCATGTGCTTTATCCAATTCATTAATGTCTTAGAGAATTAGCCCAATTCTCAGGGAAAGCGACCTCACTTTCATCATTCATATAGGTAGTTGTCTATCAAGGATTCTCCTGTAATCCAACATCCTACTCTAATGAGCTATAGACACTATTAAGAGATTATACTCAACCTTTCACTACCATTACAGGATCCAATGCACCACACCATAGGGATGGACAAATAAAAAAGTTGTATGCGCATAGTATTCCAAATTACTCTATGATTCGTTTTTCCCTTTGAACCTAGTTTTTGGGATCTCTAGTCACTAGGTTGGGTATCCTCATAGGTAATTTAATCTTTAACAGGCTTAAGTCCCATCCCCCTCAATGTATTCCAAACCTTATCTCTAGATAGAGCTTTGGTTAATGGATCAGCCAAATTTTCATTCAATCTTACATAATTTACATTTATGGTACCATTCATTAGGTAAGATGTCACAGTACTGTGTTTTCTCCTAATGGATCTCTATTTTCCATTATAATATTTATTTCGTGTTCTTCCTATACAGGCAGTGTTGTCACAATGAATTAAAATAGATGGAATTGGTTTTTCCCACATAGGCATCTCAGATAAGAGATCTCTAGGCCTAGCTTCTTCACTAGTAGAAGCAAAAGAGATTAACTCTGCTTCCATAGTCGACTATGAAATAATATGTTGCTTCTTGGATTTCCAAGTTACAGCCCCACCACCCATGGTAAAGATATAACCGATGGTTGATGTTGAATCACCCGATAAAGCGTTCCAGTCAACATCATTATACCCTTCAAGTACAGCGAGATACTACTTATAATTCAAACAATAATTCATAGTCTTTTTCAAATATTTCATCACTCGATTAACAACATTCGAATGACTCAAATTAGGCTTAGAAGTAAATCTACCAAGCATAACCACAACATAAGCAATGTAGGTCTAGTACAATCTGCAGCATATCTAGGACTACAAACAATGCTAGCATATCCATTTTGATCAACAATTTCATATTCATGCTCAGT